TAGGAAACATGCACACCTTTCCACCTTTAGCTTTACATTTATAATCAACCTTATCATATAGATAGCCATTAATCTCTCCTCCCTTTACAAACCTTTAACCCTTCATTCAAATCTTCTCATAAGAGATAACCGTTAATCTCTTCACCTTTACAATAAATCCTCACAAGCGTTTCCCCTTTGTTGTCATGGTTCTTATAACTCTAACAACTCATAGATCCACGAACTACGAACGCTCTGATTTCTCAAGTTCCTATTGAGAATACGTAGTCACAAGCTCTCAATCCTTGCCGAGCACTATTTTTCTTTTTCATACTATTTTTCTTTTTCACGCTCTTTTTCTTTTTCACTCTTTATACACGTAGTTCCACGAACTACAAATACTCTGACTTCCTCTAAGGATATGTAGGCATATGGTTGCGAGATTCTAGCGAGCACACCTCTTTATTTTCAACCCCCTTTGTTCATATACATTACAAAAACAACAAAAACATTTTCCACTCCAATCATTCATTCAAAAACAATCAACTCTCCAAATCAATAGCAAACAATTTTAGCAAAAACATAGATATTTCAAGAAGTTCCTATAGAGTACTACAAATGCCTAGGATGCTAATATCTTCCCTTAGTATAACCAACTTCCGTACCTTTGATCTCTTATTTGCTTAGCCTTTAGTCTTATCTTTAGCTTTGCATATTTATTTAGGGTTTATTCGTTCTTTTCCCCTTCTCTTGAATAAATTAAAGTTCGGTGGTGACATTTTTTGTTTTCCGAGTCAATTTAATGTAATAACTTGGTGATTCTCACCGCGTACAAACCTTTGCTTTTTTACCAATATAATTACCATATTAGATTTATTCGATTAGCACCTTTGAAACATTTCCTAATTGATTAGAGCACCCTTTAATTGATTAGTGACTGTGGAATTGAAAAACTTTCCTTGTCTATATTGGTTAATCAATGAATAATTAGGGTTAATTGATTATAAGCATTAAAAATTCATGGATTGTTTTCCTTTTTGAGCCAAATTTTCTCTTATAAATAGAGGGTTTCTCCTCATTTCATTACACATCAGAAAATAAATTTGAAGCAATACTTTCTCACTTTCTCCTCTCTTCCTTATCTTTTTCTATTTTTTCACTAAAATTGTTTTAGTGCTTTGGGAGTAAAAAATATCAGTGAAAATTTCTTGTTGTTCTAATGTTAGAATATTGTAAGTTACTCAAGAGAGTTTCGTCTCTTATGTACTCTCTCTGGAAGAAGTTGTTGTTTGGCTCGTGAGCTTAATTAGTTAAAGTTCTTGTTTAGTTCTTGAGATTGGTCAGTAAAAATATTTGTTTGGCTTGAGAGCTTAGCCTGAGAAAAACTCTTGTTTAATTCTTGAGATTAACATGTTAAAATTTATGTTTGGTCCCTGAATTTAGGCTAATGTAAAAACTTTGTTCGGTTGCGAGATTAGACTGGTGTAAAATCCCGTGTTTTATTTGAGGATTAATTAGTGTAAAATCTCTTGTTTGGTTGTAAGAAGGTTTGTGAGTATAACTCCTGAAAATCATACATATAATCATAATAAAAACTCTCAAGAAAAAATTCTTAAAGACAAGAGTAAATCAAATATTTAGATCGAACCTGATAAATCTCAAATGCATTTTTCTCTTCCCTTATATTTTTACATTTATGTCCTTTATTTTATTTTTTTAATGTATTTTCTTTTCTCCATCTTTCTAATTTTCTTTATTTTAATTATCCAATTATTTATTCTCTGTTTAATTTATAAAAAACTATTTTTAATTAGACACCGCTCAATAGCTTAACAACTCTCCCAACAACATCAAACACATTCAATTACCCTCAACAAACACATTGAATTCTCCTCTTACAAAAGTTTTTTTTTAATTTATATAAACAAAAATTTTAACTACTTTTGTAAGATGAGAAGTGAATGTGTTTGTCCATAGTCTGTAGCTATGTCATGATTTAGTCTCTGTGTTTTTATGGCTATCAAGTTGTATTTCAACTCCTTTTTTAGTGAAATGTTATGCACAGTGTGAAGCTATGAATGATAGATATTGTTTTGTAGTCCTTTTGGAAGCATTTTCAATTATATTGCCTAAATAATCATTAATGAAAACTATATGGATTAATTAGTGGCAACTGTATTGTTAGATAGACACAAGTAGCTATGCCATCGTACTCAACTTAATTGTAAGAGTTAAGTTGAACGAGTCCTTCACGATGTGGAAGAAATTAGTGCTTTATTTAAACATTACATGTTATTGTGTGGCTTACTCTAATGATATGTCAATTCAAAAGCCCACTCACTTAAAACGACCTGGCTGACCCTTTCAACACAACATGCAAGGCCAAAGTGTTTAATTCACCTTCACACAGTTAAGGCTCCAATCCCAACCTTGTTTATTCTGTTTGTAAGACTTGGTATATACTCCTCATAGAGGTGATTTATAATGAAGAAGCCTTATATTGTCTATGTTGAATCGTTGTTCTCTAGTAAGTTGAAGAAGTTCATGTATTGTTTGTCTCTAGTGAGTTTAAGATGTGTCTTTATATTCTTTATAATTAAAAATAATAGTATTTTTGAATTATGATTTGTTGGGGGTAGTTAAAATGAAACATATTAAAAAATAGTTTTATATCGTTTAATATTATAAGGAAAAAGATAATGGTGAAAGTTTAGATTTGATGGGTCATGTTGAGGGAGAAACATTTATATTAGATCAAATATTTTACCTAAAGGTTAAATACTCATTCAAACAAATCAGAGAGATATCACATATTCATCTAAAATCTTAAGATTTTGGGGTGAATATGTGGTGTCTCTCTCACTTGTCTGGATTAGTCTTGGACTTTTAGGTGAATGCTTGATCCAATGTGAATACTTCCCTCTCATGATGATTTATTATTGGTATCAGAGCCGATAGTTCAAGTAAGAGACCATCTCCTTGTGTGGAAAGTATTCCTGACATGCTGACCAGACAACGTGTTTCATTGAAGTGCCCAAACGAGAGAAAGGTGTCTTTCAACGGCGGTACAAATATGTGGATTAAAGAGTTTCCGCTTGAAGGAGAACATAGGAGATGGACTCATACTTGAGGGAGAGATTGTTGAGAAACAAATGTGAGTTCTAAGTCCCACATTGCTTAGAAAAATGGAGGTTGAACACTTTATAAGTGAGATGATTTACACACCTATCACCTTAAGGTTTTAGGTGAATATGTAGTGTCTCTCTCGCTTGTTTAGATGAGTCTTTAACCCAATATGTATGTTTTCCCCTCATGATGACTCACCAGTTGTAATTTTTTACAAGGACAAAATTACAAATCCTCTCATACAATTGTAATTTTTAAAACAAAATTGCTAATTATGATTTTGAACAAAAACGGTAAACTCTCTCAATTATAATTTTTGGACGGAAAAGTTGCAAACTCTCTCTCTCACAATTACAATTTTTGAACGGAAAAATTGCAAATTCTCTCTCAACTACAATTTTTCTGTAAACTCTCTCAATTATAATTTTTGGACGGAAAAGTTGCAAACTCTCTCTCTCACAATTACAATTTTTGAACGGAAAAATTGCAAATTCTCTCTCAACTACAATTTTTGGAAGAAAAAAATTGCAAACCCTCCTAACAAACTATTTTTGAATTGAAAATAGAAAGCTCTTTCAACAAATTATTTTTTGAACGAAGAAATAGAAAATCATCTATAAACACACAACTAAATTTTGGTGAATATATAGTGTCTCTCTCACTTGTTTGATAAATCTTTGACACAATGTAGATGTTTCCCCTTGTGACGACCCACTAACGGTATTAGACAAAAAAGTGAAAATAAACGGTCCCCAAATAAATAAAAGTCAGACGCCCAAGTGTTCGAAAAAATAAATCGAGTATATTAAAATGATCAGCGCAAAATATACGACTCGAAAAAATACACCGTTTGGTCAGATTTTAAAATAATTTTTAACCCGTTAAAACGCTCAAACTGATCAAAATGCGACGAAAAATGGTCGAAAAATTAAAACGAACACGTCGGATTAAATTACGCGAAACGTAGATCAATATAATTGACGTCTGCAAGCTCGATTTTTAAATTTCCTGTCCACCAATTTTACGCATAATTGAGATTCAGTTTGACCGATTTGTCTGTAAATCCGAGAAATTATTCCGATGACATTTTAGCTACTATGCGAGATAAAATATGTGCTATGCAAAGTAAAAATAAAGTCGGATGAATGAAAAATTTAAAAATTAAAATGCCTGAACAAAATCATGACTGAATAACCACATTTGACTTGAAACCGAAATTTCTGTCCTTGAGTGCACACTGATCCTCTGGAGAAATCATGACGAAGACGAACTTGATACCTGACGAGCCTCAGTAAAGAAGATAATCATATGTTGGGAACTCAATCTTTATCTCAACTCAAGCGCAATGAATAGCCAAATAAATCACCTCTAAATAGGGAAAACTCGAATCACAGAAAAATGCCTTGATCCCATGTCTTAAGAGTTCAATGCAAATGAAAGAATACAAAATTATGACCTAATAAAAACACAAATAAAAGAGAAATACAAACCAGTTAAGGCTAAGAGAAGAGAGGATAAATTTTGAGGTATGCTCCCTAAGTGTATTATTTTTCAAGTATTAATTTGTTTGGCTTTGTGTTCTTGTTTTTGTAGTGTGGGAGAAAAATAACCCAACACATTGTGTACTCCATTGTAATACACTCTATTAAAATGAATGACATTACCGTAAAAATAGAACGAAAAACAAATGAGCATCAATCATTATAAAGCTTGACTAATATTGGCAAAGACATGACTTTTCTCTGCCTTGACGGATAAGTCATTACTTGAGCACAAAATACTGCACCTACTTAGTCCATGAATTAATTGCTATAAATTCACTCGTGTGTGACCATAGTTTTCCTCACCCCTCTTTTCTAGTAAGTACCATTCTATCAAAAATAATAATAATAATCATGATCCGTACTATATTGTTTGCATGTCTTGATTTTCTTAATACAAAAATATCAAATGAAAAAACAACAGAATGTCTCAAAGACCCAAAGGTGAGAAGAAAGGCAGTAATGAAAAGTGTGAGGTTTATGGATTCAGAACGAGATGCTCTTTTGGAAAAAGAGTTGATGAAAGGAAGAAGAAGCTGCAACAACAGTGATTGTATTGATGAATTTGGAGAAAGAGAAAAGATGAATGTTAGAGTGAAGGTAAAGATGACAAAGGAAGAAGCTGCTAAGTTTCTGTCAAAATTTAAATGCAAGGAAGGAGGGGTTCTTCCATTGAAGGATGTTGCTCCTCAGCTTATGGCTCTTCCACTCCACAGATTTACCATTCTTCCACTTGAACCAATGATATAGTAATTGTAGTTAGCTTGTGTTTGTGTGTGATTTTCCAAAACTACTTGGATTACACTAATATTCTAGTTTCAATTTCAATTTTTCATTTAACAGATTCATTTATGAATTTGTTTTTAAGGATTTTGGAATATAATATTTTAGACGATTGTCTATATATTTTGATGTGTCTGATATTTAAAAAAAATATATATGATTTTATAAATTAATGTATTATATTTGCTTTTTAAATTCTTTTTTAAGAATACCATACACACTTTGAAATATAGACACTATCTTTTAAAATCTTTCTCTCCAAAATTCTCAAATAATCAACTCTGAAACAGACCAACAAGATTCAAAATATTCACCACGTATAACGATGATATTTAGTATGGATGAGTGCAGTTATAATTCACCATAATTTTGACCTTCAATTGTAGGTCATTAGATCATAAATTGTTACTAAATTATTAAAATTTTTTTAACCATTGCATAAATAGCAAAAAAGAAATTCATTAAAAAATTTATCATCAATTAATAATATCAATAAAAAAAACAAAAACAATCTATAATCTTTTTTTCCTTCTATTTCAATAAAAATAAAAATAAAATATTAAAAAATAAGAAACTCTTTTAATTACAACTATCAACATCATTTGAATTTAAGTCAATTGTTGTGAAACGACGTCGTCAAAAACAGAACAAAGTTATGAGATAAAAATTAAGTTTTTTTGAACAAATACAAGAAAACCCTATTAGGTTTCACAAAGGAAAAGAGAAGAAGGAACACAAAGGAAAAGAGAGAAGGAAGAAGAATAGAGAATTGGTTAATCTGTTTTACTATTCATTTTCTCAATAAAGGCTTTAAGATTACAAGTAAATATCAACAATTAACCTCTCTCTCCCTAATTAAGATTTTCAAAACATTACAAAGATGAGAGGCTAGCATGCTATTTATAAGAAAACTAACATACTAATCTAATAGACTTTTACACACAGACCCATTACACAAGCTAACTTCGGGAACAGGCTAATTTAAACAATTGGGCTTACAAATAAGGCACAATTCGACATACTAACTTAAATTACAAGTTAATATATTTTGACAGTATGCTCGAACAGACTTCGACTATAGCATACAAGATCAGCATGTGAGCAGACTTCGACTTTATACTAAACCTTCTTTCGAGCCATAAAACTACCCTTGTCGACACTAGAGTTTGATCTAAATACCACAAATCTCCATCTTGGAACAAACTAGCTTTCATCGTGCAGGCTTATCAACTGCATATAGTGGAAAAACTTGCTACTCGACAATGTCTTGGTGATCATATCATCAACATTGTCATCAGTTGAAACCTTTATCACTTTGACTTCTCTACGCTCGATTATCTCTCTAACAAAGTGCAGCCTCGCATCGATGTGCTTGGTTCACTCATGATAGGCTAAATTCTTCGACATGTGTATTGTACTTTGAGTATCACATTTAACAATGATAACTTGACCTTGAAGTTTCAGCTCCTTAGCAAAACCTTCAAGGCACAATGCTTCTTTCACAGCTTCAGTAAGGACAATTTATTTTGCTTCAGTGTTTGATAAGGACACAACTTTCTGAAGTGTCACTTTCCAACTGATTGTTGTGCCGAACATAGTGAACAGATATCTAGAAATAGATTTTCTGGAATTCATACAACCTGCATAATTTGATTCGACAAGTTCTTCGATTTCAACTTTGTTATCATCACCACATGCTCCCCCAGAAATCAGGACTCTTCTCAGTGACTCATTGATGTACCTAAGAATCCACTTTAATGTTTGCCAGTGCGCCTTCCTAAGATTGGTCATATACCTGTTTACAAGGCTCACTCCATACGTTATGTTTGGCATCGTACAAACCATAACATACATAATAAAATACTATACTAGTGTTTCGGACTGGTCCAATAGCTAGGCATGCCCCAATCCACTTCTGATCCCAGAACGACCCAATTGCCTAAGTCCAGCCAATTTATGGGAGCATTTACCTTTCTGCCCCTCCACCGGAAAAGGTTGGTCGGCTTACCCCAGGTTTAACTGCTTCTTCTCAGCAAGTTGTCGACGAGTTGGAAATGCTGTCAAGATATTCTTGTTCCTCGTTCTCAACTTGACTCGCATAAAGTCATTTGGGATGGAGCCTTGGTGGGGGACGATGTCGTTACGCCTCAATAAGCAGAGGTCTAACTTTACTTGTATGTTTAATGTATATAGGGTTTTGTGCCCTTATGTTTTCCTATTACATGTATTGACAACAATGTCTATTTCTTTACCTTTCATTGTATGATGTTTTCTTTAAACTTGTCGTAATTTATTTACTATTCCTTAAGGTCTTTAAACTTTGCTTAATCTCTTATCTTTAAAAAGGTTTTGATTTTTTCCTTTGTTGTGATCGAATTTGATTATCCAATTAAATGGGGGCTTGCACCATTTGTATTGTCTTATATGGGTCCCTTCATCTCTTGATCATCTAGGATAAGAAAATCCTTTAGATCATTGATCCTCTAGAGTAAACTGACCCTTAAGGGGTATTTTTGTTAAAGCACTTAAACCATTCAATCCTTTGAACTTACACATTCAAAATCATATAATGAGAATCGGTGACATGTGTCTCAAATTTCTCTCTATTATGCACACATTATATCTTTTGCATCATTTCGCCCTTATTTACATTTATTTGTCTTATTTTTTTCAAAACAGTTTGTTTTATTCACAAACATTTATTAAAATTTCATTATTCATTTTAACATGCTCTTTTAAAATCAGCTTGTTTTCTAAAATCTTTTTCAATTTATTTTTTCATCATTACCATCATTAAAATTTTCTTTGTTCTTTGTTTTCATTTCCACTATAAATATGTACTACTACAATACCACAACTCGTTTTTCACCTTCGACTCAAACATACTCTCTCTCTCTCTCTCTCTCTCTCTCTCTCTCTCTCTCTCTCTCTCTCTCTCTCTCTCATATACTCGAGTGAATATATATAAAACATTCGCATCCCAATTCTTCAAATCTTTCGTTCTATGGATTTTCAAATACACCCTATACTTTTCGCCTTCTTACTCAACACACACTTCCCCAAGCAATAGATTCTCGACATAGCAACAGTCGACTAATTCATTGCTATAATGTTTGAAAATATGAGATTTAAAGTTGTTTCAATGCTACTATTACTACTACTACCACCACCACGTAACCATCACACAACATATAAACTAACATATCCTTAGAATGGTAACATGATTTGTTTTTCCTTTAACCACTTATTCAATATATTGAAATCTCTTCATCTTCATCACCATCATCTTCGTCTTCATCATCTTCACCGTTTAGTATGGGATCGAATTCCACCAATTGAGGATCTTCTTTTTTTATGAAAACACCTCGGCCGATGGCAGTGACAAAAAGAATATAAGTATTTACATCTTTGAGTTAAATTATGAAAATTTTGAGTATCATCTCATAATTTGGCAACATCATTTCTTTAATGATTCAAACTTAGTGTAGTGTATGTGTAGTGTGTTTTATTTTAGCAAACTTATGTTTTTTCGTATTTGGAAAGTTTTGTTTATAACAATGCAAAATCAATGGAAAACGTTTCTTTTTATGTTTTATCTCCGTATTTTTACTTTCCATTTCTAAGTTAAAATTTTAATTTTATATTTTTGAAAAATTGCATATTTTAGTCGTTTTTTCTCTTTAAAGCTTTTTGCAAAAGACATGGGGGTAAAGTATAATGTCACAAAATGCACACAGAGAGATAACACCTTAGAATTTTGATTTTGGTTAGTAGAATCATGGTTTTCATTGATAGTGGAAAAGAAAATGGATTTGACTGATTGAGTTTTTGCATGTGGGGTTACGGGTGTAAAGGGAGTTGATTCTTCTATGGTGTTTTCAAGAATCTGTTCATTAGTGTTCATCATTGGAGGCGAAGATGATTAATAGACAGAGAAGAGGTATTAAGGTTGAATATTGTGACAATCACTATGAAAAAATTGGGGAAAATACTTGATGAAGGAGATTAAGGTTTCTAGGATAAAGAAAAAAGTTGAGGTATGAATATTGAGCATAAAAATTAGGTTTTCTTGGTTGAGTATGGTGATTATTAGGATAGAGAATGAGTGTTTCGACGCATAAGAGATTCTTTTTTTGTTGAAAGTTGTGATTTTAAGATGGAGAATGAGTTTGTGAGCACTCAAATTAGGATTTGTGGGTTGAATCGTGATCAACGAGATTATGATTTCTTGAAATGAGATACGGTTCTGAAAAAAAATTGGATAACCAATAAGAAAAATGATAAAAAGGATAAGAGTGATCAGAATAATCGCACCTACTGATACCATGTTGACACATGCAATAGAAGCATGTTCTTTCATAGAGATGAAAAAAAAAAAAAAACATAATGTATTATTTCTTATTTAGATAACAGAACTGGGCTTCAAGCATTTATAGGCCCAATACAATGAGTTAGTTAGAGAAAATTATTCTAACAATTTTAACACTAAAACAAAAATAAGCATAAACTTATTACAAAGTAATGTATTGTAAAAGATATGTTTGCAAGACTTTAAAGTAATGTTTATTAGATAAAAAATCAACATAAAATTTTATATTAAATTAAAAAATTTTAAAATTAATTAAATTTACTATTAATGATAATACTCGCTAGCTTGACTAAATAAACATAAAATTGTCTTATGAGTGTATAAGACGGACTATTGCATAAAACTTAAAGTTTGACACAATTAATTAAACCATAACTAAAAAAATCTCATAAAATAAATATCATAGTTAAATCGTAACAAAATATATCCTTATTTATTTTATGGTAATTGAACTGTTTAATCTATCCTCGCCTCAAAAAAGTTAAACGACTGCATAGATGCTAAATTCAATTGCTTAGGGATAAAATAAAATGTAAGAGCTAGATGCTGGAAAATTATAAGATCTTCGATCGAGCATATGGAGAAAAAAATAACACAA